CCTTGATCCATTTCTGGGTCGGGGGGGTGGCAGTCAAAGCTGCACCCAGTACACAGAGCACCAGCCCCTCACTGATCCTCCTGCAGGTGGTGAGTCCACAGGAGTGAATAATCAAAATAGTTCTATTGTGAAAATAAGTATCAATAAGGTCAAATTGTTCTAATAATTAGAGTAAAAAGGAATCAAATGGAGTCAGATTTTAGATGTTTCTGTTTTCCACATTTGTAGGAACTAGTGCAGAGGTGTTTATAGAGAGTAGTATTAAAATGCAGACATAGAACAACAGGCTTTAACAAAATTTTAAATCTAAAAATAGCTCAAATATAACATTGCTCTTGATGCAGCCTCTGAGCTGCTCCATTGGAGAACAGGTCAAATGTTATTGTATTATTACAAACAGCTGATGTATTCACACATATTAAGTTTTGGACAACACTTTAAATAGTTAGAAGCAGCGGACAGAAGCCATGAATGTGCTTTTGTTTATTAAATAATTAATTTCATAGCCATATAATCGTAGAGAACGGTTTTAAAATAGTTCTCTTCCTCCCGCTCCCTATCAGGCAAATTGAATAGATTCATGTCTTTAATATTGGAGAACGACTGTGTTGTTTTTGGAATTGTCTGAGATACAATACATAAAATAGTGATTTGCAGAACAAGAACCGGCCAATGAAAGATCGTCTATTGCCAATGCAATTGTTACAATCAGAACTCACAAATTGGGAATATGCTTTGGCTCAAACTACAACCAAGATTTGGAGTCACAATAGAGTATAAAATAGATAGATGCTTTCAAAAATAGAGATTATTTTTAGACAGGGCTGATATCAAGCGGTAAAAGGACCATTTCCTTCATATTATGTCCAAAAGTATTTACTTCAAAGGTAGATGAAGTTCATTACAGTTTATGCACAGGTTTATTAGATACTGTCAAATTCGCTTGTTTCAAACATAGGTGAATGGTAACAATGCCAAAAGTTAATGAGATAGATTAATGAGATAGATTAGAAACAACAGAGATTCAAAAACATTTAAAAGCATTTTAATGTATTTGGGTATAGCACAAAAGTAGATATTTAGGTATTTTTTGAGAATTTTAAGAGCTGTCGATTTGTCAGCAACAGATTAGAGAATCAAAATACCGTTGTAAAGGGACTGACCCCAGAGAAACCTGCTAAAATAGATTAGCTCTTATAAGGATAATACCAATTTGATTAACGATGTACATTTATCCCAAACGGTCTGAGAGGAGGAAGGGACAGCACTTCCTGGTTCAACAAAATGTATTTGGAAAAATGAGCAAAGCCCCACGAAATGGCCCAAAGCCACTGATAATGAAAGCAAACCACAGTATAGATAGATTTATTAGATAAAAACATATGTTTAAGAATAGGGCTCAATAAAAGCAAAATATGCAAACATATTTGTAAATAGATTAGAATAGTTTAAACTATAGTGAATAGTTTTAGTGCATACATTACAGACGAGGTTGAAGAAGAATCAGAATGACATAGCAGTGGTCATCAAATAGTATTGAAGGAATGGTAAAAATGTGGTTTGTTGTGTGTTGTTTGTTTTCTCTGTATTAACTCTTCACAGATATCAAGCCGGAACTAAGCACAAGTATTGATGATAAACGACGAGGTGGATTGTGACCTAATTTTTAATCAGGTCAAAAGAGGGAAACTGTTGTATTTATAAATACATGACATTCTAAAACCATGTGTTTTATGACCTAGCTAACCTCTAAGTGGGAGGCCAGTCCTTCTTATTTTATTTTAGGTGTCTTCTTGTGCCAGCAACTGGACAACAGATGGATTCTGCTGTTTGTATTTCACCCCCCTAGTCTTGGCCTGCTGACTTCTGCACTTTTCAACCTCACTCCATCAGGAGTCTGGCAGACGGAGGAAAAGGCTGGACCCTAGACCGGAAGCTGGCTGATAGGACACTCCCCTCCTTCCTGTTCTTTTTATGCTCTGGCTGGAGGCGGGAACTGGAGAAGCAGACCAGGGCCAGAGAGGGACATGGATAGTATAGGAGCTGGTTGAATTTCTGTTATTTGATTGTAAAGATAAATTAAATACAGATGTTAAACTTGAAGATCTCTGCCTTACTTCTGCATCCATTTTCGAACACGTCAGTCAAAGGGAATTATTGACTGCATCAGAGAGGAGGCCTGTCTCACATCTTCAGGAAGACTGTTCCAGATTTTAGCAGCATGAATCTGAAAAGCAGCCTCCCCATGTTTAGTTCTGACTCTGGGCACTAACAGGAGTCCAGTCCCTGTGCTCCTCAGAGTCCGGGCTGGTTCATATGGGACTAACATGTCACTAATATATTTTGGAGCGAGGCCATGGAGAGACTTGTACACAAGCAGAGCTCACATGCCGGTTTGTTTACAACAGCGGCCGCCTGGCGCGGGCCTACGTCGCAGGCTAAGACGCACTACGTTGACAGAAATGTTTAAATTGAATATTACTTATGCACAATTTTACAGCATTTAAAAACGTTAAGAACGTTTTTCATTCTACAGAAGGAAAAAGACGCATGCACCTCCGGAGCCGCAGGTTGCCGACTCCTAGTTTATACAGTATGTGGAAGCAAATACTGTAGAGGATCAGGATATGTGCAGTTTCAACAACAAAATAAAATGCAATAGTCTACATTAAAGAGAGTAATAAACATGTCTCAGAGTGAGGGAGGTGGGCACAGACAACACTATTGTTTGTTACAGGGATGAGAATTGGTCAAAAAAGACTGAAATGCATATTGTCAGCCGTCAGCTGGCTCTAAATCTGTTTAATTTGTTCACAACATATTACTTTTGGGCTCAAACATGAACTTTTAATGCAATGCTAAATGTAGGTATCAGAGCTTTATTTAGGGCGTTTAATCGCGCTTCGAGAGGAGGGGGGAGACGCGGACTGTTTCCTGCAGCAGTGTATTTATTGGGTGCACAGATTACTCAAAGACACGCATGGTCCTGTGCGCGTTTATGGGGTTGGGTACATGGCCACGTTGAGGCTGCGCGCTCAGCCACAACACGGTGGAGCGGCTGCGAGCGGCTGGACGCTCACAGCCTCTCGCAGCCGCTGGACGCTCACAGCCTCTCGCAGCCGCATTACAAAGCGGCCGCAGATGCCCCGGAACACTGCGGCCGCTGAGGTGGCGGAATCCCGTTCGAGTACATACAGCAGGTGCCCCGCGGATACGCGCGCCCCCTCGAACAATTCTCAACGGATTTACACTTCTCATAAACATGTGTTTTGTATGAGGCAGACAGACCGGCCCAAATATGGGCATCGGCCCTTTGGGCATTGCCCGGTACGCCCGATGGCCAGTCCAGCCCTGTGCGCTGGCATCCTTGAGCTTGGACTACAAATTCGAAGTGATGCACAGTAGAGGAGGGCTGGGCCGAAGTGTTTTGTTAGACGCCCATGCCGTTATATAGCAGTCCCGCTGCAAATACTGTGACGTAATAATTCTAAACACGTAATAGAGAATGGCAAAATCAGAACGGGTTGAAAAATCTTACCTAAACAGAATATGAAGTGTTCTCTGCAACCCATGAAGAGACTGATTTAAACTTTTTTGCACTTCTAGAGGCTCCAACTACACAACATAAGGCATTTAAGACACAAAAAGTGGATTTTTCATGATATGTCCCCTTTAAATATATATTGGTTCTTTTGTTGTGAGTTTTACTTCCTGTCTGTCCTGCTGATTGTATGCCACACCCTGATGTGTTACTGTGTCTCCCTGTGTGTATTTAGACCATAGGCTGTAAAAATTAATGGACGTAGTCACACCTATCTCCGTCGTTCTAACTAATGGGCCAAAAATAATGCTCTACTGGAGCTATCCAAAATGGCCGCGAGTGGTCCCGCCCACGAGAAAATTGTGAAAAAACGCATCTGCGCATGCGTCAGCCGGCGCAACTCCATTCATTTGAACGAGAGACTTCAAAAATTCACAGAGAGTAAACTAGAGTGGTCCAAAAAAATTCACCCCCCTCAGCATTGACACATGTGGAACGGAGCTTTGGGCCAAGAGCCAACTTTTGGACCATCCTGTAAAGACGTTTTTTTCATTTTGGCCACTTTTGAGCTGGGACCCGCCCCCACTGATTTAGACCCTGTTCTCCAGTTCTCTTGCTGTCGGTCGATTGTTGCATCAGATGTTAAATTAATAGTAAATTTCATTCATTTTTATGTTTTTCCATTTTAATGTGTGTCCTAAAAGCCTCCTATGGACGAGCGTTGGAAATTAACGTGGACTTGCTGCAACACTAAAGGCCGTCCATCTGGTCACCCCCTCCCCGCCTGGGAGCCTCTACAGTCCTGCACCACACAACCTCAGTCCTCCTTTTACAGCTGAGGCCTGGATCTAAAGCCTGTTCATGGGAGCGGATCCCTCTCTGTGTGGGGCGGAACATTTAAGGACATTTGTGGACAGTGGTCATCCCGCTCCCTATGGACCGATGACTTTATTATTGCGTTCCTGAGAAGACTGCTGCTGTGATTTAAGGTTGTACAAAAATACATGGAATTGAACTGAATATGGTCAGTCCAATGAACCTGTTGTGTCCAAATCAAATATATAAATATATTAAAATTAGCAGCTTTAGCATTAGAGCTCTCACATGTAGAGATTAAAGCTGAGGTATCTAGCATTCAAACCATAACAAAATAAACTGTAATAAACTCCAACTAGTCCCTCGCTCTCAAAATAATTGGGGTCTGTCTCTACAGTTTTCAATAGTTTTGGCCTCTGTTACATATTTAGCTCAGCTTTTTCAGACAGAAAAGTCAAATAGTGATTCACAAAGATAATATGGTTCACAACTTATTTATGAACAAAAGAAGTTAGGTACCCCAGCTTTAAGTTATGAAAACAGAAAATCCTAATCTACGGTCATAGTCAAAAAGCTTTCAGTACATAAAACCCACGAATCTGTTACTGTAGTTACGGCAATCACAAAGGAAACTGCACTGTACCAAACACGGCAATAGTCATGTGATCCTGGTGGACGGTGTTGGCCATGGCGGCTTGAACTGTGACCGTGTGACTCCCGACTTTGGAGAAAGTGTAGGTCATGGCTCCGTTTAAGGTCACCACGGGCTGCTGGACACAAAGAGGCGAGATCACACCAAGCGGGACAAAAGACTCGAGACCTGGACCTGTACCTCTGTTCTGTTGTCGAACCACCAGTAGTAAGTGACCGTCCCCACTTGGCTCGGCCGCAGCGTGGTGGTGAGATTTACTGGCTTGTTCTTGACCGCGACAGAAGGAGCGGAGAGCTGCACCTGTTCGAGTGGACCTATAAACGTAAAAGAAATAGGCTCATTTAAAAACATAACCGCATCGACTCTTTTCATTTACGCAATCCCATTTCCGCTCTAAGCAGGGTGTTCAAGGATAATCTACAAAAACAGCCATTATGAGTGGACACAAATCTGCAGTTTGAATGCAAAAAAAAATAAAAAATAAAAACTGTCTTTACGGCGCTAATCAAGCTAGCTGATTATATTGCAAAACCACCTCATGGGCTTTCATTGTCCAAGGTGTAACAGAGGAAGACTGAAAAGCAAAATGAGGCTTGATTTTAGAGGCACTGAAAATGTGGTTAGCCGTTAATCATCGTAGCAACCAATATCCCTCACAATATAAAATGTGTCTCATTCTGTTTAGTTTACTATAGTTGTCCAGCACACTTTGGACCACGTTTTATGGTGTCCAGTACTCTGTAAATGGCAATGGTCCATTCGTCTAAAAATTTAGTTCAAAAGGTTGTCTTAAAAGGGAGCCTCCTCAGTCCTCGTTCTACAGTCCTGGATCTTGTGGGAGCAGATCCCTTTCTCATTATGGCCCTTCCTGAGGTTTTTCACTTTGATCCCGCTTTTGAGTTGTTCCTTGACGATGTAGGAGGGACTAAGGACAGTGTTGATCCAGGACATTTAAGCCAATTTATGAACACTGATGATCCCGCACCCTATGGACCAATAGCTCAAATGTGTTTGTTACTGTTGAATCTATTGTATTCCAACTGTTTGATTCTCTGATCTGTTGCTGAAGAATTGACAACTTGAGACAACGATGATTTAGGGCTATACAAAAACAAATTGAATTGAAATTATGCAAAATACTATTAAAAGCCAAAACAACAATTTATGTGTTTCAATGTGTAGTGATTAAAACTTTTACTCTAGTGTCACAAAGTTGGTTAAGTTTGTAGTTGTGATTACAAGGCAAATACTAAAAACAGGGGATTAATGTAAATACTGTATATAGTAAAACCAAATCCTGTCATCAATGCAGGACGAAGGGAGAACTCAAAAGCAGGACTGAAAAACATACCAGATTTAATAAACAAAACAAAATAAAGCAATTCAGAATATAACAGAAATCCAAAATCAAACAATGGAGTTAAAACAAGAGGAAAGTAGCAGAGGGTATAAATACACACATGGAGATGAATATTATTAGTAAATGCAATAGTAAATAGTAAAATAGTAGGGTTGGGCATGTAATCAACGGAACAGACAGGAAGTGAACTCAGAAAAAGACAAGAAAACCAATACATTAAAAATGAAATGGTCAAAAAAAGCCCACACCAGGACGAAATCCATCTTGATGTCAGGCTCTACATGTGAAAGCCCATTTGAAAGTCATTTGAAAGTATTTTGTCAGTGTTTGTGCACGTTGTATTGGCCGACGAGGTGAAAAAGTTGGCCCCTGTTTTGGAGAAGCAACTTGAACTTATAGAAAGACAAATCCATGCTTCCCTGCTTCATGTATTTTTGTAGAATTCACATAATGCAGTTTATGGGCAAACTTTCCCGTGTAACATTTTCTACAGGAGCCGCTTCATTTGAATTTTCTCTGCCTCGAATTTTGTGCTCGTTGGCAAAAACTTCCTATTTTGCATTTTCCTTCACTCATAGGAACAAAACTTCGACTGTGTAAGTCGTCAACGCCGCAGCTGTTTTTTGTGCTCTGCTTTTGTTTTTAAGCTGCTGTGGCTTTCAGTACATGAGCAAACATAGTGCACAACTTTAACTTAAACTTGACACTTTTCTTGTTCCTGCCTTATGTTATCTCAGCTTAAAAATAGTTCTTCTGCGCTTCCTTCCCACTGCTTCCGTTGTTTTCCAATTCATTGATCTCAACAACAAATACATCATTGGAAGTTATTCTAAAGGTCTCCAAAGTAGTTCAATAGGTTGTGTTCACGTTCTAAAAGTCCATTTCAGCTGGAGGGCAGGTGTCAATAACAACTGTATGGGAAAGAAGCATTTTTTTAAGAAATGTTGAAAAGCCGTCGCAGGTTTGTTTTTGCTTTGTTTTGTTTTTTCTCATATATTTTTTATTTTTTTCTTCTTTCTTGTACTGGAGGCATGAATGATGGACAGGTGAAAGTAAGTATGTATGTATGTATGATGCGCTTGGGGTAAGTGTGAGTAAGAAATGAGGGCGAATGTGTTTTGACATGTGAACACACAATGGAAACGAACGTCAAAAAATGAACAAAACATTTATCACAAAAGGTAGAAATGTTGAAAAGAGTCCAAAATGTCCAAATGTTTTCCCAGATTATTCTTTGATAGATTCACAAAGACGCCGTGTTATTCTCATGTCTGAAAGTCCTACTGGCCAACATCGCTGTTGGCCATGTTTTTTGAATTTAATAATTTGTAAATCATCGACCATAGTCCTGACAGAAGCGAGGCAACCAGTATGCGCCATGCCCCTCCGAGCCCCATCAACAATTCGCACACACACACCAGACTAATTCTAGGCAATGTGGGTGAAGTGTCTTGCCTAAGGACACAGCGACAGTTTGGCACTTTACAGCCACAGCCGCCCCACTGTGGCACCTGGTGTTCCCAGAGGTCCCTCATCACAGTACTATCCAGACCCTGTCCTGCTTAGCTTCAGAGATCTGACGGGATCTGGCGGGATCTGGCTTTCACATGCAGGTATGGCAAGTATGGTAAGTAAGTGGTACTGCTTAATTAGCTTACTAAAAAAACCTTCTAAGCCTTAAAACATGAGACATAATGACCTTTTTTTTTTACATTCAGAGAGTGTAGGTTTTGGACATAAGTCTCTTGAACTCACAGGTGACGTGCAGGTACAGCGTAGCCTTGTCGGAGCCCAGAGCGTTGCTGGCCGTAGCAGAGACTTGATAGATGCCGACTTTGCTGTAGACGTGCTTGACACCGTCTTCTATAGAGCTGATGTTGACATAGGATATAGCAGTCCCGTCCCCAAAGTCCACTGTGATACTGGTGGTGGAGCTGAGACCCTTCAGGAGAGGGGGAAAGTAAACACGCCGTCAGTCACCGCTCCCGCCACCACGCCTCACAGATAATATTAGGCCATGGATTTATATTTATATTCCTCCGCCGAAGCCACTGCTATCCTGACAGCATCTCAATACAGACAGCCGCATAATCACAAATGAAAAAGCAAGGATCAAACCAGACCTCGTCCAAAAAAACCAGGAAGGTGACGTTCTTTTCCAAGGCTGCCACAGGTGTTCCCTCACTGGTGAAGAGCTGGAGGCCCCTGGGGGACTGGCTGGGACACCTCTGGCGCCTGGGGCTGTACTTTAGAGCATTCCCCTCGGTGCAGTTGTTAGATAAAGCCTTGCGATACCTAGAATACATAATAAAGACATGCTGTTTGCTTCCTGTGAAGATAACATAGTGGAGCTGACAACATTCTCTGGTTTGGAGTAAACGGCTGTAGAATTTGTATGATTTATTTCATAATTGACCCCAAAATTGTACTGCTAGGACTGCTAAGATTTAAGTGATGATTACAATGTTAATAAGATATGTTTTGTACTTATTGAAATTGAGATAACAAATATTTTCTAGATGATAAATATGAAGAGTTCTGCTGCTTGAATAGTTCTCGTTATCTTACTATGAAGGAAAAAGTCTCTCTAGGCTCTGAAAGTTACAAACCCTAAACCTTCTTCATAAATTCATTGTTGTGGCTAATTGGGGAGTGTTTGAATCAGTGAGAAATTGAAGAATATACTTGCAGCGAGGCCTAAGTAGCTCTGAAACAGGTGTTGTTTTTGTGCTTTACAATCGTTATCTTTCTTCTTACTTTGTTCTACCTGTAAAAGTTCATGGTTTTACACTGATCCAGACCAGAGCAGAGAGGCTGCATGGGACCAACCAAACAGATCAAGCAGAAATCCACTGCAAGAACGCTAATTATTTTTTGAAAAATGCTAATAAAGCATTCAGGATTTCACTTTGAACCAGAGGAGAGAAAATGGTCGGAACAAAACAGACTCTGCAGACATCGACCAGAGGAAGCATCCATCACTAAACCAATACATAGATAAATCTAAAACAATCGTTTCTGCTGCTGGTCACCTGAACTTCTCCTACAAAGATCTATCTATCTTTCAACTTTGTAGTATATAAAGTACTTATTTCATGCACAGCAGAATTTTCTTCAGAGCCTGTGGGGCATATTTTCTAATTAAATCAAGACTTACTTCAGGCACTAATCAACTTGTTTTACTATTTAAGATTTATCATTGTCAAGTGTCGCGCAGTCAATGCTTTAATGCTTAATTTTTGCTTTAAAATATAATTCTATTTTTATTCAATTAAAAAATATATTGAATTATGAGTCACTCTTGCAAACTCTGTTCGCTAATTTAAACCATACCACAGCATTTTCATTTGTCATCCTCAATACAACTTATGTCTGGACAAATAATGTTTACAGTGGGGCAAAAAAGTATTTAGTCAGCCACCGATTGTGCAAGTTCTCCCACTTAAAATAATGACAGAGGTCTGTAATTTTCATCATAGGTACACTTCAACTGTGAGAGACAGAATGTGAAAAAAAATCCAGGAATTCACATTGTAGGATTTTTAAAGAATTTATTGTAAATTATGGTGGAAAATAAGTATTTGGTCAATAACACAAATTCAGCTCAATGGAAGGAGGTTTTGGCTCAAAATCTCACGATACATGGCCCCATTCATTCTTTCCTTAACACGGATCAGTCGTCCTGTCCCCTTAGCAGAAAAACAGCCCAAAGCATGATGTTTTCACCCCCATGCTTCACAGTAGGTATGGTGTTCTTGGGATGCAACTCAGTTGAAATATCGTTTTGGGCAAAATTTGGGCTGTCTTTTATACAGATAAGGAGTTCAAACAGGTCCCATTAATACAGGTAACAAGTGGAGGACAGAAGAGCTTCTTAAAGAAGAAGTGACAGGTCTGTGAGAGCCAGAGATCTTCCTTGTTTGAAGTGACCAAATACTTACTTTCCACCATAATTTACAAATAAATTCTTTAAAAATCCTACAATGTGAATTCCTGTTTTTTTTTTTTTTCACATTCTGTCTCTCACAGTTGAAGTGTACCTATGATGAAAATTACAGACCTCTGTCATTATTTTAAGTGGGAGAACTTGCACAATCGGTGGCTGACTAAATACTTTTTTGCCCTACTGTATATGGTAAAAAATCACATGTTCTTTCAAAACCTTAAAGCTCGGGTACCTGATGTTATGTAATTATGTAATCTGTCTAGCTCCTCGGTTCAACCACTAGTTTTCACATGCATCTATCTTTGGCCTCTGTCACATCTTTGAATCAGCTTTTTCCAGACAAAATAGTGACTCACACTGTATTACAAGAATGCAAAATATATCATGTTTTTTAATCAGAAGAAGTCAGCGTACAGTTGTCGGATTTGCTCAAAAAAATGTAAACTAGATAGCCCATCTCATTACGCTAAAGCTAGGCATTTTATACTTGCTTCTTCATTACGCTAAAGTTAGAGATTTCACACTTGCTTCGTTATAATGCAAAAGCTAGAGATTATATTTTCCCCACTGTGGGATGAATAAAGTATCTCTTAATATTTATCTTAATCTTGAAATCACAGCCTACTCTCTTATGGCACATTCGATTGCTTGTTTTTTTTTTTTCTTCCCGCAGTCACAATAGCGTTGATAGCACAGTATAAAACCAAGAGTATTTTTTTCCACCTGGCTGCGTGCGCTCGGCTCCGTCTTACCCCGTGGTGTTGAGGAAAGTGTCCCCAGTGATGCAGTCTCTGGAAGTGGCTGAAGGAATGAACCAGAACGACGGTGCGCAGCTGCCGTCCGACTGCCTCTCAAATCCATAGTCACTGTTTCAGATCAACAACAAAAAAGTTCTGTCACAAGGCCAAAACTAACATTTAATGAAGCAGCCTCTGGGATTAAAATACAACAATTGAATCTGCGGGTTGAGGATAAAATAATATGATGTTCCACTCATTTACTAATTGATTGTCTGAGATTAATTCAATAACAGTGCTTTATCGATCCAATAAAAAAGCAGCAACATGAGTTACAGGAGAGCTTATATTTTTGAATACGATTGGGTTCATATATTACTTGCACTAGAAAACACATGTACTTTATAATTGCTTCTTTTTATGCCAAAGGTAGAGATTTTAAACTTCTTTATTATGCTAAAGTCTGAGTTTTTTGTACTCATAATGCTAAAGATGGAGATTTTATACTTGTTTCTTCTTTAAACTTAACATGTTTGCACACTTCTGTCTATGCCAAATGTGACATGTACATTTATCCAGTGTGAGATCAATAAATTCTATCTTATCTTAGAAATGTTTTTTTTATTTGATTTAATACAGAGCTATTGTTCACTTATCTTGTGCTGTGTGCTCCTCATTCCTACTGTTATGTAACTAGCAATGCAACACTGAAATTTCCCCACAGTGGGACAAATAAAGTATCTCTGAACAGCAGAAAAAAGTTTGCGGACTCAAAATCTTTCAGACAGCGCAGATTGCTGAGTCGCAAGAAGTTCATTGCTATAGTCTAAAAAAAAAGCATTGTGCGGCTGGTCTCCGCTAAATGCCATGTGGACGGGCCCAGAGAGACGACTGTTCTGTGGGTGTAAGATCCCAAAAAAGAAGAGAAAGTTTTGCTTTTTGTGCGAGCTGGCATTGACCACACAGCGCCGTGCGAGGGCCTATCCCATCTGTGAACCACACTCCGCTGCCTCTGGACCATCGCGGGCTTCCGTCACCCACGGAGGTGCGAGATCTGAATTATTCAAATCTTACAGGAAAATGTCAAGGTGTCCATCTCCTTCCCCGCAGACTGTGCCTCATGCTGCAAGACAATAAAATCCTCTTGTTCTGGTAATGTTAGGGAAGTCTAATGTTTTTTAAAATGCTGCTGATGATCGTATCGTCCTGTAGAAAATGCCTGACCGAGAGATTCATATTTATCATTTTGTGGGGAAACTTTTGACTCTGTGTTACATTGTCTGCCTGTTGTTGCATCATGGGTTCATGCATGTATGGATTGTTGAATCTGAAGCGCTCATGGTTGAGAATGCATGAGTAGCACTAGGTTGAGGTGTCATACGCATTAGCAAAAGATTTGGGGAAGTGTCTGCTCTCTAGATGTCGAGACCAGCAGCAAAAAAAGATCAATTTCTTTAATGAATGTCCTTCTGTAGCCTCTCCTGTCTCTCTCACACAAACAAGACAAGCTGTAATATTTGCAGCTTGACCTCCACCACATCTATACGATCAATTATGTAGTTTGGTTTATTTAGGTTCCTTAAAACTCCTTGTTTTTGTCACTAATGTTCGACCTGATCATTATCATTGTGTGCTTGTTTTGTGTTATTTTATATTGTAAATGCTTTTTATACTGTATGTTTTAAATGTTTTAATGTGAATGTGAACCCCAGGAAGACTAGCGACCACTTGTGGAAGCTAATAGGGATCCAAATAAAATAATTGATAAATAAATATGTATGTATTTATCCGAAGTATTATTTTTGTAATTGGTTGCATATGTTTTTTTTAATTTTGTCTCTTTCTAAATGGTTAATTTTAGCAGAGGGGAGGAGTGGGGTGCAGAGATTTCTTTTTTTTTGTGTGTGTGTGTGTGTTTATGTAATTATATTTCCTTATCCGTAATGCTCTGTAAATTGTTAAGTATGTACTGTATATACTGTATGTATTTATGTTTAGGACCCCCTTGAAAATTAGATGATTTATCTCAAGGTGCTTTCCTTAAATAAACTTAAACTCATCATCCAATCATTAAATCCCTTTAGTGAATATTATGCAGTGATGCAGTTGTCCTCAGAGTTTCTGAGCTCCGGTTGTCGAGTTGGAAAAACAATGAGCTCTATTGCATTTGGTAAATCTTTATTGCATTGTGGAGACCATGTTTGTCTCTCTGAATTTTAAATCAGCAGATGATGACAGCAAAATGCATTTCATAGAAAACCAAGTTGTGTGAAGCAGTCTCTCCTAAATTAAGACTAAATGGATTTTGGGCCGAGACAAAACAGAAGAATCAGAGATCAAACGGTCAGCTTCTGGGGTAATAAAAAACATTTCAGTCAGCTGGGTTAAATTGTTTTTTTATCCGCCTGCAGAGACAGAGACAGAGTTCACACACAGTACATGCCTAATTATCTGTGTATGCCTCCCAAACAAGAATAAACATTCATGGATTGTATCGATATATCTCTCACACTCTCATACTTTTCTTACGTTCTAAGAGTCTATGAGTGATTCTATAGCATCATCTCGACAGATAATGAGGTGGCAGTGGACGTGCCCTCCCGCTGTGCTCTTTGGCTCCCCAGTTTGCCTCTGGAGATGCTGCTAAAGGGTTTGGACGATGTTTTTAATGACGGGAAAAGACTCGCTTGGAAGTGGGAACTCACCACTCAAAGTCGGCCTCTGTGCACGAGCAGGAGTCGGACTTCTGAGGCATGTACTGATCTCTGGCCTTGACACATGGTGCGTTTGCTTTCAGCTTTTGGAAAACCCTCTTCATACCCATGATGCAGGCTTCGCTCTGTAATGAATAATCCATCAGAAGCATTTCAAAAGTCTCTGTTCTTCTTGTGCGGCTTGTTTTGCTTTATTGTGTGACAGAATTTGAGAATTTTAGCAGAGCCTAATTCTGCGCTTAAACTTTGTGTTTCAAAATAACTTATCTTACTTGGTCGTGTACTTGCCACACGGTGTAGTCGTCAGAAGTGCAGCGGTGCTGAAAGATGGACCGGAAGTCCACTTTGACAAGCTGCCACTCGGATCGATGGCTGAAATGGCCAAAGATTCTGCACAGAATAAATAACATTGAAAAGCTGACATTGACAAGTGATCCTTTCCACACATTAAATACTCGACCTAATGCGTATAAGAATGTAATACAAGATATATCAAATATATGACAAACTAAACCTTACTGCCACATCACATGAATAATATCTGGATTACAAACTACAGGATTTAGATCTGTGTAGGGGAAGGTAGGAGAGTATTTTCATTTTTAAATGTACAGTCAAAATTAATAATAAAGATAAATACATTTTTCATTAAAATTCTTCATGATTTGCATTTAATATAAATAATTTCTGATTAATTCCTAAAAATATTTAAAAAACATGAATTCTAAAGGCATTCCTGACATAATTGTGGGTTGCATTAGGAAATCTTATTAAAAGATTTATTTACATACATATTTCAGGTGTATGAATCTGGAACAGTTCTACTTATCTGTGCGTATGACCGAGTTATATATGTTGAGTTTTAATATTGAGTTTTGAATCTGACATTGAATGTTTATTTTATTTTATGAATACCATTATGTTTTATAATGTTAGTAAATGTGTACGCTTTTATGGGTTGCACATTTACACTTATATACACATACAAAGATAATATACATATGTGTCTGCAGTTGCCCCACATCTTACGTCATTATAAGGGTGTCCTCTCCAGGCTCCCCCAGCACCCCATCAACATAGAGCAGAGACGAGGTGAAGCTATATTTGTCCCAGTTTCTGCCCTCATCAAAACTCAGCCTGGGGGAGAGAACAATGGGTGGATCGCACACAGAGAAGAAATGCAGTCATGAGCCTCAGTAGAAAAGCAAGTCTGACTTTTTCTTAGTTCTGAAGATTGAGCATGTTGTCAAAATCCTTGGAGAGCCTTACCAAATGTGCCTAATTGGGAGAGGTGTGTGTCGGATGGCGACCAGAGCTCCCCCTTGGTTGAGGAAAAACACACTGTACTCTTCCTGAAAGACCTGCATTCAACACATAGAACAAGTGTTATTTAGGACACTGGGATCGGGTAAGAACTTAACTGGGGTAAAAAACAGGTGGACGGTGTGTAGAGAAGATTCAGGATTTGATGTAAGAATATAAAGACAAAAAGATGTAAGAAAGGGTTGTGTTCAATAAAACCTTCGAAAGTATTCATACAGCTTGAACTTTTGCACATTTTGTCGAGTTTATAACCATAAACATAAAGATTTTATTTTGAGTTTTTTACTGAAAGTTCAAACACAACTATGGAGTGAAAGTACAACTATGATTTCAAATAATATACAACCGAAAGGTAGGGCATGCACAAATAAAATAGTATCTAGTTTCAGATTTGTGAGAAAGCCATATTTCATACAGGCAAAGTTAGAGGCAAACAGGCGGCAGAGTTACATAGAAAAGAAGAAAGATAATAAAGATCTAAATCTCTAAGACGGACATGTGTTTGTCAAAGCTCTGGAGATGAGACAGCCTTGGAAGCAGGAACTAACTCAGAACAGTCAGTTAAGATGAAACACTCAATCTCCTGATACATTCAACTTTGTTGTTTGAAAGAAAAAATATCTGCACCTATTTTGGTCATTGTGGTTTCACAAAATGATGATAATTTACTTCATGCTTTAGAAAATTAAATTATAGCTTAAAGAGAAAAAAAAAAGTGAAACAAGTCTGAAGGGTAAAACACAGCCATGATTGTGATTTCACCGGAGAAGCTGCAAAGATGAAACCCCTACCTTATGGGCAGTACTTGTTTTAGAAGTTACAGAAAACTGATCTGAGTGTGATGTCATTACAGTGGTGCAATGACATCATACTAATACACGACTGAAACAAGAACTTTTAGACGGCTCAGTTGTTAGTACATGTGTTTTCAGCAAGGAGGTCCTGGGTTCAGAATCAGAATCATTTTCTTCGATTCCTTCTCCAGGACCTTCGTGTGGAGTTTGCATGTACTCCCCGTGTCTGCTCTGGTTTCCTCCAAGTGCTCCGGTTCCCCCTACCACTAAAAACATGTGCAACAGGTCTGGTGTGCACCTCCTGTATGACGACCTTACTCCCACCTTTGTGTGGAGTGAGAGACAAATGCCCACAACAATTGTAAAGTGCTTTGTGACTCTGGTCTGTGAAAAGCGCAATACAAATAAAGATTACTTACTAACTTACAAGACAGAATTGGCAGAGGTAAATGTCTGATGTCGTGGATTAATCTATAAATTAGGAGGAGCAAACTCAAAAAGTCCAAAAAAGTCGATTGTTCCCTCTTTACAATGGCCTGTTTATAATACAGTCATAACAATAACACTTTTGTTGCCAGAACGATTACTGATGCAATCCACCAGCTGAGGTTCAAATAGGAACGGTACAAACCTGATTCTTGTATGTGTGGTGCAAGTTTGTCAGTTCATTTTTGAAGATAATATTTATATTTTTATTTGTTTATTTATTTCAATTGTGGACATGAACATACATCACATATTCAGTTACATTTTAAATAAGATAAGATAAAAGTCAAAACCAGCAACATTTTTCCCTAACAAACCAGCAACCCAAACACAGGCCACATAACTGTGCTTTTATCTTTTGTTCATAAGATAAGGTCATCTATGATTTGCACATGTGACCTACTGTCTAGACACATGTAAAATATAATAATAATGTGTATTTATATAGCGCATTTTACAGATCAAGGTCACCCAAAGCACTTTACAATGTTTAGATTTCAGATATAATTCCATTCTCTCCACAACAGTGATGAATGAAGAGAGACGCAAACACACTGGCGCATCAAAGCCCCAACCAACACCACCCATTCACTCTCTCATTGCATTCTGACCAAGCCATTCCTACCAAACCATTGTACACATTTCATTTCGTACTTACTGTAGGTCCGGATTTGCTCAATTGAGCTTTCTTAACAGTGGAAGGGGTTAACGCCTCCTTTACAGTGACATACGTAATGCGCCCTTGCATTAAGCCAAGCCATCTTCTTTACCACTGACGCAGCCACAACATCTTTGCCAGCAATAACTTTTGCTAAACATTCCTCTTGCTCCGGGTTCAATTTCTTGATATTTGGAGCCGAACCAGAACGGATTTCTTTACTATCGCATTTGCCGTCATTGCCAAATTGCCAAATGTAGAAAATGCTAATTGACCGGAGTTTACAGATGGCTAAGGCAAGGCTAATTCAGACCAATTGCACATGTTTTAGTGGAGGAATACTACCCAGACACGGGGATAACATGCAAACTCCACACAGAAAGGCCCGGAGGTGGAGTTGAACCCAGATAATGTAGATGTAATTAATGATGAAAATATCACACACTGCCCCTTTAAGGTGCCCCTCGTCACTCACGTACTGTACATGACAAGGATTTTGCCTAAATATGTACATTTCTCATGTCGCACTAATGAGACACCAGTGTTCTCTCCAAACACTTTTTTTTTGTATTTATAGACACTGGGATGGTATGGCGTCTTTGTGTAGCGCCAGGGCGGATCACAGCCACGTCTCTCACACATAGCCTCGCTGCTTATTCTGTGTCAACCGCAATGTGTTCGCAGCAGCAACACTTTGAAACTGAGAAATACAAATTGTGACTGAACGAACGCTGGGCTATATTTGTAGAAGTGTTGACTCTTTCTTAAAGTCTCAGCAGAGATAGGGGTTTGGTGTTTAATATTCAGCAGACAAAGCCATGTTGTGTGTTCCTTCAGCGAGGAAGGACATTTACTTGGCTTTAAAAGATAAGAAAACCCAGTTAATTTTGTGCTAAATTGAACAGAGAGCGGTAGAACAGTCGAAGGAGCTGCCAACCGCTGGCTTCTACGCAGATGTTTTTATTTTACTTTATATAACATGTCTCTGTGGTTAATTCAGCTTTAAAAAAAAAAAAAAACATTCATTCCAACAGTGAGTGAGATAAGTCAAGTCAATGTTTTCCAAAGTGCTGCACAGAGATAAAAGTAACACTGTTAAATATACAGGTTTTCCAGCTTTATATGTATCAAAAATAGAGTAAGTAAAACAATGAGGATGTGTGAAGTAAAAACAATATAAATGTAGTAAAACAAATAAGATTTTAATTATCCAATACACAACAAAAACAGTATGTCAGGTATGTATTGTTAATGAATAGTTCATTTATTTTACATAACTGTCTGTTGTACAGTACTGACGACAGTGGCTCAGTCTTTGAACCTGTGGTCGTGACACCATCTGCTCCCACTGATGTCTGCTGTCTGACACTTAACCCCACTTTGCCCGAAGCCCCCGCTGAAAGACCGAGGCTGTGTCTTCTTTGACGGAGCAGCCATCGTCCCGTAGACCCACCACCTGCAGGAAGATCGGTGAGGGGCTGGTGCTTTGAGAAATGGGTGGCAGCTCTGATTGCCACTCCCCCCCACCCAGAAATGGAATAATAAAAGGTATGGAAATGAAAGAATGAATTAATTATATTGTACTTTGAAATTGTGTTTGTACAGGTTTTTAAATAAACCTATATTGATAAAACCTCGTGAAACAAAACGTTCACAAAGTTCCACATCTTCTTTGTCAGTACTTGGAAAAAACTATGGTCTATTGTCTGTAAGTGGTGACAATATAGAAAAACATATGCATGATGTTGGCCAGAAGGAAGGACTATCAAAAATCTTTTAGTTGTAACGCCACCTTACCTTCAACTGAAATAGAATTATACAAAACTGAGCTGTATCTTGAACTGATGACCTTTATCTGATCATGGATGCATTTAATGGCATAATGCGTTGCCTAAAGTACACTTCAAATAATCTTTGTCTACTGGAGACCTTGTACATCCATTAAACAGTGTTGCCAACTTAGCGACTTTGTCGCTAGATTTAGCGACTTTTCAGACCCCTATAGCGACTTTTTTTCAAAAAAGCGACTAGCGACAAATCTAGCGACTTTTTCTGGTGTTATTGGCGACTTATCTGGTGTTTTGGCGACTTATCTGGTGTTTTGGAGACTCGTGAAGCACGTATTGTTCTGCTGTCCTCAACGTGAGCCCCTCCCCCGTCCCAAAGCACTTACAGGCGGCCAGTCTGTCTCACAGTAGCCTTGCGCAGCAGTCCCAGCTACAGTCTATGGGCGGAGCAGAGAGAGAGAGAGGAGACTCAAAAGCACAGGAAGTTTTCAGGCTGCTGCAGACTGAACTTCAGCTCCACCACCACCACACATCCAAAGCTCCCCGGCCACTCCTACCACCGCCACCCCCCACTACCCCCCACTCCATCCGCGGCAGCTCTATCCGTGACTCTGTTTTCTCTCAGTAGTGGGTCACATTAAATCATTTGTTATGCCAAACTATGAAAAAAAAAAAAACTTACAAAAATAGACCTAAGTAACTCTGCCAGAGTGTGTCTTTTGGGTCACTTTGCCGGTCCCAAGCCCGGATAAAGGAGGAGGGTTGGTTGTAGAGCTAGCAATTTCACCCTACATAACAATCTTTTGATTACATTTGCTGTTATAACATTTAACAATACAGGACAAAACTGATGTGTGTAATGTGGATCTAGACAAAGCATTAAAATCATTAAATGTTGTTAATGTTGAAATTATTTTTGTACATTTGTAGTTCTAAACATATTTAGGGTGTTTTTACTCACTTTTGTCTCTCCCACGACCTTATTCCTCTCTCCTACAGCGTCCGTTACAGTTATTTGCAAATGGCAAATTATGCAAATTAGGCGATGACGTCATTTAGCGACTTCTAGCGACTTTTGGGACAGCCAATAGCTACTTTCCTTACTGAGGAGTTGGCAACACTGCCATTAAACGACAAAAGGACAAAAAGTATCATTGTGTAGCGATGGGCAAAGCTCTCAAAACTCATGAATGTGCAAACTGCTTTGACAAAAACGAAAGAGAGCAGAAAGTTCAAATGGTGCAGATACAGAGATAAGAACCAGTACAGAGTGTATTTTGTCAGCAAATGGGGAGATTAAACTCAGTTCACTTCCAAATCGAAAGCTAACACACTCCAAACCTCAGCTGTGGAAGTCGGAAAATAAGATTATCGTTCAGAAGTGTATTTACTGTCCTTCTAATTCAACGTACAAAGATAAACTAATATATAACGGACTCAATACACATTAAGTGGGACATTTCAAACCTTTATTTGTTATAAAGTTGATAAATGGCTCACAGGAAAAAACAACAAATAAAACCTATCTGAAAACGCCAAGATTTTGAGAATGGACAGTGAGCCATAATCCTCAACACTCAACAAACAAAGGCATATGTCTGTTTGCTTGTAATGATTTTATAGTGATTTTAAGTTAATTCATTCATTATCTTCCCCTTTATTAGTCCATTTTGGGGTCCGGGGAGTGGCAATGCGAGTTGCCACCCAATCTTTATAGCACCAGTCCCTCGCTGATCCTTCTGCAGGTGGTGGGTAAGAAGATGGCTTCTCCGTCAATGAAGATGTTGGTGTTTCAGCGGGGGCTTCAGGCAAAGTGGGGTTTAGTGTCTTGCCCAGGGACACAACAACAGCAGACATCAGTGGGAGCAGATGGCACGGGTCGTGGGGGGGCTATTGCACATTATTATTATTATTATAGCGGTAGGAGGAACCAGAGCACACAGAGTAAACCTACGCAGACACAGGGAGAACATGCAAACCCCACACAGAAAGCCCTAGAGGTGAACTCAAATCCAGGACTTTCTTGCTGTGAACCAGCAAAGACGCCAGACCCATTTTTGAGCTGCAATAACAAATTAAATCAAGCATTGTTACATTTCATAATAAGGTTTTGACGTGTTGGTTTTGCGCCATTTCTATGACATGTTTGTGCTAAAACAGTGAAAAAAACCATTTCTCTCTTTTTTTGTTTTACCTCTCTCCAAGTGTTCCCAGCATCGGATGTGATAAAAATACTGACATTAGTGCTGGTCAGTTCCGGTCCGATCACCCCTAAGACAACACATTTAATTATTAAACCAACTGGACTAAATATGAATCACAGCTCAAGGCTATTCCACAAAGCAAACAAGGCTCCAATCAATGTGCATATTGACAAAAAACAAAGGCTTATTTGTTGAAGCGCTGCCTTTCTTTCTTTCACCTGATGCGATGATAATTCCGGGAGCAGAGTCTTCGCTGACGATATTTCCAGAGGTGTAAGGGTTCTCCGAGACGTGGAGGTGCAGATGCAAGGAGCAGTACGGCTGAGGAACGACGGCACAAAGCAGATTAGAGAAAAGGATCAGAGAGAAGCCACATCACAAACACGCTACAGATAGAAACTCTTTGCAGAAATACAGTACATTGCGTCTGCTCGTTTGCCCGATCGTCGACATTAAGACACATGCAGACAGGATTCACCAGCTGGTCACATGTCACATGGTATGATTAGAACTAGAAATGGAGGAGTTTTATTGTGTCTGATTAGGTTTGTGAGTAGTAGCAGCCTATGCCACTAGCTGCAACTTATATTATCATACTGTATGTGTTGTGTGGTTCTCAGTCTTTGTATTTGTGATTTATTGTGTTACATACAGTACAGACCAAAAGTTTGGACGCACTTTCTCATTCAATGAGGTTCCTTTCTTTTCATGACTATTGACTGTAGATTCACACCCAGGCTGTGTAAGGGCTATTTGACCAATAAGGAGAGTGATGGGTGCTGGGCCAGATGACCTGGCCTCCACAGTCACCGGACCTGAACCCAATCCAGATGGTTTTGGGGTGAGCTGGACCACAGAGTGAAGGAAAAAGGGCCAACAAGTGCTGAGCACCTCTGGGAACTCCTTCAAGACTGTTGGAAGACCATTTCAGGTCAATACCTCTTGAAGCTCATCGAGAGAATGCCAAGAGTGTGCAAAGCAGTAATCAGAGCAAAAGGTGCTACTATGAGGAGCCCAGAATATAAGACATATTTTCAGTTGTTTCATTCTATTTTTTTAGTACGTACATAATTCCGCATGAGTTAATTCATAGTTTTGATGCCTTCAGTGTGAATCTGCAATTTTCATAATCATGAAAATAAAAAACGTTTTGAATGAGGTGTGTCCAAACTTTTGGTCTGTACTGTATATATTGTATTGTTTGTATATGATTAATTTGTTTAGTCATTCCAAACATGCATGAGATATACAAACAGTTATTCTAAGAAGAAAATAAGACCAAACAAGAAAGCCTGTGCATGGTTTGAAAAGAGAGTGGAATTTTTAAGCAAAAAGCTTATTTTAATCCAATCCCCTCACAGCCATTCAAAACACATAATATAATATAATACAAAAAAAGAATAAAAAAGGAAAAATGGGCCTTCAGTGCCTCCAACAAAACACAAGGCAGCAATATGACACATGACCACACACACACACACGCAAACACACACATTAACACCAAAGCCAAAAGAGACGAGACAATACCAACACACATTGATGCTCTTTTTCACACATGTGTATGTGTATGCTATTGCTTAATTTTTTTTATTTCTGGTCTTCATTTAGTATATTTTATTTTAAGGTGCATGTAGCAACTTTTTATGTGAAATAAAAAAAAAACAAAAAACAATATGTTTCTCTTTATCCCAGTGAGGGCGGGTCCCGGTTCAAAAGTGGCCAAAATGACGTGCGCTGACATGCTTGCAATACCACCCCGGGCCGATGGGGGTGGACCCGGAATACTGTAAGAATTAGCCAATGCTAACATATAGCATTGGCAGACCTCTCAAAAACGTCTTTACAGGATGGACCAAAAGTTGGCTCTTGGCCCAAAGCTCCGTTCCACATGTGTGTCAATGCTGAGGGGGGTGGATTTTTTTGGTCCACTCTAGTTTACTTGCTGTGAATTTTCTGAAGTCTCTCGTTCAAATGAATGGAGCTGCGCCGACTGACGCATGCGCAGATGCGTTTTTTCACAATTTTCTTGTGGGCGGGACCACTCGCGGCCATTTTGGATAGCTCCAGTAGAGCATTATTTTTGGCCCATTAGTTAGAACGGCGGAGATAGGCGTGACTCTGTCTGTTCATATATACAGTCTATGCTTTATCCTTGTGGTGACCCAGTGGCTGTGTGTTTGCTCATTATGGTGCCTGAACGTTTGGTCAGGGTTGTGTCTCCAGGATCAATAGTTTTGTATGTTCTTTTAGTGCGGGCGGCGGTCCCTGAGCAGATAAAACTTTCCATACAATGGATCCTATAGCATCCTGGAGACCACTGTGATGGGAAGTACAGGCGCCTTTTTGGCCTCTGCTACAGCCATTGTGTCACTACAAGGTCAAAAACGAATACCTTTTTCATATTAAAGGTCCCATATTTCACTCTTCTTCATTTTTCACAGTCCATCCTAAGCACATGTGTGAGAATAATTCAAAACGTAACAAATTATAGCCATTTGGGATTCCCGTGGATAGAATGTCAAGGCACATTCTCCTCATTCTTCGTCTTCGGGCTATAAAGTGTCGTCACATATTTCCAAAAACACATTTTCTCCAAGTTGACATGATAATAACGCTTTTAGTCGCTGACAATAGCAGAAAAACAGCAGAGCTTAATGTAGTAGACGCGGGACCATACACTAGACTCGAGAGAGGCTGCAAGCGCTGATTTGCTGTTTTGATTTCTCCCCCTGTCAATCACTTCCTGGAGGCGGGCTTCTCCAGCTCGATGCCACGTCACAAATTGGACCGAATTGCCGTCTCTCAATAATGGAAGAGAAAGATTGCTCTCTAACTAAAGTTAGAGGGAATCAATGAAAAGACTACTTTGGGTATGTGTATGAAGCACTTTAATGATGTTCAAAGCATAAAAATGACGAAAACCGAAATATGGGACCTTTAAAACGTTACTAGTATATAGTATGGGTAGACTTTTACTATGACTTTATGTTAAATCTTTTTGTGCAGCACTTTGGATCACTATTAAAACCAAAACTGAATTGAATGTCTTCATAACAATATTAAAAAGTAAAAACACAAAAATAAGTCTCACAACAGTCTTGAGTATTGTGTGACTTGTTTAGACTCAATCTTCAGTGATAAAATGCAGTTTCTTTGCTGCTGCAGTGCACTGAAAGAGACCTCTCAGCTGTCAGCTCTGCCCCAGCTGCACTCAGAGATCTCTTGGTATCAACAACCTCAGTTCCACACTATAGACTTTCACAACTATGGGGAATGTGGTGAATATCCCAGAATCTTCTCTGCATTATTCCAGAAATATTGGTTGCTTGATCTTTCTGTATTTCTCAAAGCTATTTTAGACCACCCAGTAATATCACTATGAATAATACACTCGGTACACCGCTGTGCAAAAAGTCTATTTTAAAAAGTTCAACTCAAATGCTTCTCATCGTTTCAGCTGCAAAGGGTAAACCTATTTTATATTTACTTACTCTAACACCGGGGGTACACCGACGTCGACGCGCATTTAGATGAGTATGACCGCAATCTGTATGTTAGGCTGACTTCAGACTACTAAGGTCAGGTAAGGTTTACTTTAATGCCCCAGAAGGGAGATTTATCTTCTGCCTTTGACCCCCTCCCCCAATGACACTTGAGCCTCTGTCAGGAGCAGTGGTCCTCTGCAGATGTTCAGCTTAATCAGGACCAGAGCTGGAAAATGTCACCTATTGTACCTGTTTTTAGTGGTGAGTGAAATCGCAGCACATGGAGGAAACAGGGAGAGCTTGCAAACTCCACTTAGAAAGACCCTGTTCTGACGGTTTCGAACCCAAGACTGCTGAGAAGCGAGAGGGCTAACCACTCTGGCAGCGTGGTTAGGACACCAGTTTATTTATCTAATTATTGATGTATTTATTCATTTATCTATGTATTTATATTTGGATTTATTTATTTTTACAAAAGAACATTCATACAACAAACAGCAAAAGTGGAGAGATACATGATTTTAAGGGATACAACTGATAACGTGTGTGTGTGAGTGCGCAAGAGGACACCAGTTTAATTACCAGAGCAGAGTCTGGCAATAAAAAATATATATATCTGTACACCCACATCTACAAGACTGAAGTCAGCCCACATACAAATATACCACTTTGGAAAGTTAGCGACAGGTTATGAAATTGTGTTTTCCTTTTCATCCATGAGCCCCAGTCCAACACTGTCTAGTCTGTGACATTTCAAGAACACAATAGTTATGTCATCATGGTGATTAGGAGCAGCGCATTCGACCCGGAGGAGTTAAGATTTCAATTCATCCAGGTTGAATTCTCACCGCCTGCCTCTCACAGTGGCCCACTTACCTGTTCACAATAGACCTTGTTTCCCTGGAGATCGGTTGATGGCGCCTGCACAAGCCGCCAGTCTCTCCCCTTGTTGTACGTGATATAGGTTTTCACTTGGTTCTCCACAATCTTATTCGACAGGAACACCCCTTTAATCCCGGCTACCTGCAGATATGAGAAGAGCGCAGAAGAGAAGTGCTGAGAAGACACAACCAAAGGGAGAGAAAACATAAGCTAAATTATTCAAACTAAAGTTAAGCTGAGGGCCTAGTTCGCAGAGTGGAGAAGCGATATCTGACAGTGAAAGCTATTTTAGACCATCTGTATAGAATTGTAGTATCAAAACAACATATGGTGCTGCCCTGGGACGTTTTAACTTTTTCACACACCACAAACTGGACTCACGTGTATCACCCACACACCTTAATCCTCCCCGGGTTTTTTGTTTGTTTCTTTTTAGCAGAAGGATAATTTAAATTTGAACCGGTCAGCTGTCGACTCAGAGCGTAGCCTGCACAACATAAGCGCTGGGGAAACACGGCTGATGGCTATGTCCTGCTTAACAGCATTGGGCTTTTCCAAACAGCGTGAAGGTGATTCTAAACGAAATGCTTTGCGAAAAACACATTAGGCTACATGTCCCGCGCACGAGTCTAAGCTTGGAGATTGTCAGCTGAGAGATTGGACACAACAACCGCATTGTGCTGTAAAAGACATCGGTGCTGTCCCTGCTCAATGTCATGTATAAAAAAGAGAGTAAGGGCGGGAAAAGTAATATGAGAAACACTTTGCGGAGGATGAATAAGAGCCAATGTTCCAGCATATGCTCGTTCACAGTGGGTACATCTGAAAGAGGGTTAATGTGTGTGCTTTAAAGCCAGTTTGTTTGGTGGTGTTTGGAGGTCACTGAATGTATTGTCAAAAAATTTGCTTTCCTCTGTCCTGTTTTATTTTCATCATTGTGACTTCATCTGTATGTGTTTGTTTATTGCTATTCACCCGCTGTCTCATTGTCGGTTTCATGGCAGGATGATGGGATGATGGTCGCCCCTGGCCATGGACTGCCCCCCACCTCGCCTGGGAGACTCTTCAGTTTTGGATCTACTGCCTCAGTCCTGGATCTACAGCCTGAGTCCTGGATCTACAGCCTGAGTCCTGGATCTATAGCCTGAGTCCTGGATCTATAGCCTGAGTCCTGGATCTACAGCCTGAGTCCTGGATCTATAGCCTGAGTCCTGGATCTACAGCCTGTCCTGGATCTACAGCCTGAGTCCTGGATCTACAGCCTGAATCCTGGATCTACAGCCTGAGTCCTGGATCTAGTCCTGGATCTACAGCCTGAGTCCTGGATCTACAGCCTGAGTCCTGGATCTACAGCCTCAGTCCTGGATCTACAGCCTGAGTCCTGGATCTACAGCCTGAGTCCTGGATCTACAGCCTGAGTCCTGGATCTACAGCTTGAGTCCTGGATCTACAGCCTGCCGTCTGTAGGAGCGGTTCATTTTCTCAATGTGGGTCTCCCTGAGGTTTCTTACATTTTCCCCACTGGGGTTTTTGTTGTTGTCGTTCTTTGCAAACGGTGGATATATCCGGTGATCCAGCTCCTTCCACCTGTGACACCTGTGAACTGGAAAAGCTAATTTTTCTTTTTTTCATAAATGCCTATGGTTTGTCTTCACAGAAAGAGTTTTTTTCCATACTGAGAGCTGATTGGCTGCGTTGGGGCAGGTTTTTCTCTATTAATCACTGTAAAATCTGATCTAAAGCTGTAACAGAGGCCCAAAATACATTCATGTGAAAACTAGTGATAGAACCAAGCAGTTTTAAGAGCGAGTAACTCTTTTACATGGGTTTTGTTGTGGTTTCAAAGTTAGGTACTCCAGATGAATGCCATGATGAAGGCTCAGTGCTGAAACACGATGGCATTTCTAAGTTAATTGCTGGGTAGGAATAAATAAGTTGATTTAATATATTTATTGTGTGCCTCAGTCTTTCATTATTTTGAACACCTAAAAGGACAATCCGAGGAGCATGCCTGTTCAATTTCTACTAAGAAAATAATAATGAAAGAAAAACAAAATGTTGTTTTGGAGGAATGGTAGAGGAGACAATAGAGGCGTCTGCTTCGCTTTAAATGGATGTTATCCTTGTACATCGTGAATTAAGTTGGAGCCACTCAACAACTTACCGAGCTCTTTATAAGCCCCTTTCCTCCCTTTCAAACCGTAATTAAAGAAAGAAAGACGTTTAAAGAGATGTAACTGCGGATTGTTCTTGTTCCGAGCTCTCACAGAGAATGTTTCTTGGCATTTGCACAGATTTATCAGACGGTGAACTGCCCAACCTTTTCTCAATCAAGCTACTCATCAATACTGGCATCAAAACTACATCCTTTGAGAAAAATCGGTGAGTTTTAGAATGATCCACAGCATCATCAATATGAGTAAGATCGCATACACAAACACGCACTGTTCTTTTACTTTGAATTGAACTTGAAAAAAATGGCGTTTTATTGCATAAAAATCGAAACAGACGCTATAAAGTGAACTTTCGCTGCAGAACCATCCGTCTTCAGCACTGACTTTCCGTTGGACATTTTAATTATTTGTGAGAACAAGCATAAAAGACTAGCTGTAGTGCAATACACGGCAAGCCGAGGACCAAAAACCCGGAGGCAATAACACAAATTGATGATACCAACTTTGATAGAATACTCTTACAGCTTGTAATAAAATATCAGTTGGACCAGTGCATCAGACAGTTATGTAACACTTTGGAGTGGGGGAACGTGGATTCAATGACCCACTTACTGTCACTGCATTATTTTCTCACTAATAATCAGTTAGTGATCAAGTAGTAACATAATCACTAACTGCTCCATTTCGACGATTGTGAAGCAGAATTCACCAAGCGTCAGATTGTTCACCCACTGATCGTGAACCTGAGCTGGGTTTAGACCGTGGTGAGACAGGTTAGTTTTACCCTAATACTGATCATGTGTTGTTGCAATAGTAATCCTTACTCTCAGATTACTTACGTATTTAATTACCGGTACTTCCTCACTTACTTACATACTTTCATACTTAATTACTTACTTACATACTTACATACCTAATCAATTACATTCATACATACTTACTCATTCACTTACAAACTTACATATTTACATACAGCACTTACAAACTTACCGGTTACTTAATTACATACTTACTTACAAACTTACCGGTTACTTAATTACATACTTACTTACAAACTTACCGGTTACTTAATTACATACTTACTTACTTACGTACTTACAAACTTACAGGTCACTTACTTACTTACGTAGTTAATTACAAACATACATTCTTACATACTTAATTACTAACTCACTTACTTACATACTTACTTACTTTCATGCTTAACATACTTTTTTCTGATCTAACCACGAAAGAGAATTGTTTAAAAATAGCTCATTGACACATTTAGACACAATTTAAAGAGTATGTCCTCAGCACGATTCGTTCTCCCCAACATCCAATTATTCTTGTTCCTACAACTTAAACTTCTGTAATAGAGCCATCCAGGGCGGTTGAAGGTATGTGTGGGATTTCCATTAAAAATAAAATAATGGCCTCCTCTCCACAGCGGCACAAAGCACTCTGCCTGTATATCAGCGCTCTCCCTTGATGATACGTATGGGGACAGTGGTTCCCAACGCAATGTCAAAAATAACAAATACAGAATGAGAGGAGGAATATGCAGCACAGGACGAGTACAAGTCAGCAGCAAAATACTTTACAACAAAAGCACTTTGAATAATGAATGTTTTTGTTGTTCCTCAAGGGGGAAAAAAAACTACGAAAAGTTTAGATTATTGTTTACAACCTATGGCCAAAGACATTCAGGTTTAAATATACAGTATTATTGATTACATAAGCAAATAAAAAGTGGATGTCCGTGTCTGGTCACTGTAAGGTATAATTCTGAATGGCATGAACGAGCTCTATTCATGCATAAACATATATATTTTATTGTAAATGCTGCATTTGTTGTGCTTAAAAATGAGATAGCATTCATGTAAGAAATTGTCACCTAAAGGTAGAGGCAAAGTACTTCAGAATTGTTGTCTAGGTTTCTTCTTGTCACGCTGCATTGTATTGAAAAGATCCTTGAGCACAACACCCACTACAAACGCAAATTAATATCCGCGAAAGACATGTTTACGGAAATATTGTGTTTAGAACGTTTGAGTCGATTGGGTGTACTTTGTTGGATGTGCCACTCGTAATATTTGTGAATTTTCCGGTTTGTTAGCTGTTTTGTATTCGTGAATTTCTCCTACAGGGATCAATAAAGTATCTATCTATCTAAATCACAAAAGCATTCGTCATAGAGGACTTCACCAACGACATACCAGAGAATTAAGATTAAGAGAACCTTTGTTCATCCCACAGTGGGGAAATTTCAGTGTTGCATTACCGGTTACAGAACAGTAGGAATGAGGAGCACACAACATAAGATAAGATAATTGAACACAGCTCTATTGCTCTATACTCAATACTAAACTCTCTACTTATTAAAATAGTATAAAATAAATCTTTTTAAAAACTTAATAAAAAAGCAAGAAGTAAGTAATCTTATATACAATATATATATAAAAGCTTCCTGCTTCTCGAGAGAGCGGTCGTGTCTCTCTGCTCTGCTTTTGCTTCGCCTTTTAATCTCCCTGAATCATTTTATTTACATTTTTTGTTTCTCCTTTAATCATTTTATTTGCAGAACGAGGATTACTCCTTCTACACACTTCAGCTTTGTGGAATTTATCAACATTAGTCATGTCGGGACGGAAGAGACGGAGAAGCGTCTGCGGTGGCTGTTGTGCTTTGGAAAATCAGCTTAAATCTCTTCAAACACGGATATCTATTGTGGAAACAGAAATGGGACTTAACCCGACTCTTCCAATGAGTGAAAATGGGATGAATGGACAGACTGGAAATGTAAGTTATGACGTCATTTCTTTTCCCAAAATCAACAATGAGAATTATTGGAACAATTGTGGAGCCAAACCCAAAGTTGACAAAGCTAAGAATGACAATAGGAGTGAAATAAGGCCACAACTAAATGTTCTGAAGACTTCAAACCGCTTTTTACCCCTTTCTGAAACAACAAAGCTGCTAAAAACTGCAGCGCCTCCACCAAGGACAAACTGTATCCTTATCGGAGATGGCTCGGTGAAAAATGTAAACATGGAGTCCATGCTCACTGTCTCAGTTCCCTCTGCTAAAGTTGCTGAGATAAGAACTCTTCTGCCTAAAGTGTTATCTGAGAACAGTGGTGTGCGTACATTATTGATCCACACGGGGGCGGTAGATATCTATGAGAAGGCAAGCGAGAAGTTACGAATGGATTTAACGCTGTTACTGGATGACCTCAAGAAAATGGACATAACAATTTTTCTTAGTGGCCCACTGCCAAATATAGATGGAAAAATGGAGAAGTTTAGCCGTCTGTATCAGCTAAATACATTTC